GTAGTTTTGATTGTTGTAGACAATGCATGATGATTAGGTAAACTAAAACTAATCAATTGGATACGTCATAGAGTATGACGGTTGATAGAATACATTAACGTTATGTATTGATTGATTGTGTATATGACCTATGTGTATATACATTGTGTGTGTGGGAGGAGATAGGGGATGTACTCCACGGTTTAGGGAAAGACAGGGGATGGACCTCTAAACCGGAGTTGTTTGGAGGAGATAGGGGATGGACTCCACTGATACAGCTTATATGCTTGTCAGTTAACGTGTTGATATAGCTCATATGCTTATCTATGGAAGTGTTGATACAGCTCATATGCTTATCTTTGGAAGTGTTGATATAGCTAATATGCATATCTGTTGAAATGTGGATACAGCTTGTAGCTTATCTGTTGAGATGTATAACAACTAGTATGTTATCTATTGTAAAATGGGAAACCTTTAATATGAGTCACTGTCTCATATAAGTGGTTGCCAGGTTCTTGAGCCGTTGATGTAAATTGAAATTGATAAGAAATGGAAACTGAAATGAAACATGAACATAGTGGTCATGAAATGGAAATGGGTTATGAATTGATTTATGGAAATTGAACATTTATCAATTGCTAATGTCTTAGTTATTGCTCATACTGTGTTTAGCATATTTCTACTGGGCGTTGGCTCACCCTATATGGGATATTATTTTCAGGTACAGGTAGTATGCCACCTCCAAGGTCATAGCTTGGATGATGATGAGAGTTGAAGACTCTTTTTGTTTATTTTGTTTGTATTACATGTATATCAAGCCAAGGGCTTATCTTGTATAAAGTTAGTACTCTTCTTTTGTGTAACCAGGTGTTGACTTGGAAAGCTGTAAGTCCATAGGGCATTTGCTTTTGTTGTTAACATGTAATACTGTTGTAAGAACTACTCTGATGAATAGAAATGGTTGGTTTTCTTTTATATCAATGCATGTCTAAAGTGATGGGTTTTATGTATTATTTAGAGGGCGTTACACTTCTTGCATGCTTATTGCACTTGTAGTGTAAATCCTCTTTGCTAGCCTTATATGCTTGATGTTGTAGCCTATTATTCTAGCATGTTTTGGCTCCACTCTAGCACATTTTTGGATTTGATTTAACATGCTTGAGGTCTGATTTAAGTGGTTTTGGTCATGCATGTTTGGTTTTGCATAGCTATAGTGTATTTGGCTTTGCTAGCCTTGCACTTTGGGCCCCCTAGCATGTCATATGTGAGCTATTTGCATGATATGGAATCATTTGGTAGGTAATTTCAGACCATAAACTTCTGCTATGCTCTCATGTTTACCACTCTTTAATTGTGTTTAAGAGTTGTGCCATTATGCCTTGTTTGTGAGCTAATTCGGGAGCCAATCTTTCTTGCCATCTTTGTTGCGAGTCCAGCATGTTTTTGCTACCATTTTGACCTGCCTTAGGTCTGTTTTGAGTGCTTTAGGTCATTTGAGCATTGCTTAGTATGGTTGTAGTGTAAAGCTCTTGACTAGCTTTGTATTTCAAGCCCTTTTGCATGCTTTATTTGAGTTATTTGCATGATATGGCATCATTTGGTAGGTGATTTCAGAGCTTATTTCATTGTCATACTCTCACATTTTCCACTCCATCAATGTGTTCGAGAGTTGAGCTTTGTGCCTTCCTTGCGAGCCATCATAAGCATGCTTTTTCTTGCTTATCATGCTATCATTTCAGTCCATTTTAGCGACTGTTTTGGCATGCATAAGAATTGTTTGGGGTTGGTTTAGTCCATTATACATTGTATTGCATGGTCCTAGTATAAAGCTCTTTGCTAGTTTCAATGCTTAAGTGTTATAGCATGTTGTGCATGCGATGTTTGCATAGTAGAGTCTTGCATTTCATGCCACTTTAGCACTGAAAATCTGCCATCCTCCTCATTTCTTCACTTTTGATTTATTTTGAGGATTGGTTAGTCTTGAGTTTGAGTTTAATGCAAGGGATTAAGGCCCATGCTTAAATGGCTTCAACCCTCTTTTGAGGGTTACTCCTAGGCAAAGGCATTGGTCTCTCCCATGCCTTAAACCATTCTCTTTGATAGACCTCTCTCTCACTAGAGGACTCTCATTTTTGGACAAGTTGATTAATGAGTGGATTGGTAATGTTAAAATGTGTAAACAAAATCAATCAAGTAAAATGTGTCAAGATAAGCATGTTGCATGTGTACGTTGCATTGTGTTCAACCAGACGTTATGTTGAACACAAAGTGAATTGGTCCATTTCATACTTGAAGTGATGAAAATGGTCCAATCCCCTTTGTCTCTATTGTCTTTGATTATCCATGGTAAGGTGATGGTCCAAGTGTCTTATTTGTCATGCATTTATTGACCTTGTACAACTTGGCTTCTTTGGCCATCATGCATTGAGATGCATGATTGATGGCTCGAAAGTCGAGCACTATACTCCTTTGAGCTTCAAACATGATAAGGAGTGTGGTTGTACACACATTTTCTTGCAAATACATTGTCATGCCTCTATTTGTGCTCTGTTGCAGCAAAAAGGAGCAGTTTGCAGGATGAGATGGCCGATCGGCTATCTGGTGTGCCGATCGGCTAACAATTTTTGGCCGATGGACTCAAAAGTGGTCGATGACCCTTTTCCTTTGGTCGATGGCCTTACCTCTTGGCCGATAACCTCTCAGAATATCCATGAGGTGGATCAGAAGTGTTTCAGAAGTTGGCACAATTTTCAGCATTTTAAAACAGTGCAGACAGAGGCAACATGAGGCATGGCAACGGATTTCCGAGCGAAGCCGACCGAGCATGCATCTCTTCATCGCCTGCGAGGCCATTTCAGTATTCATGATTAGTTTGTGTAGTTTAATCATTTAATTGGTTTTGTAATATTCATTTAGCTTAGTGTAGCTATTTGTTTCAATTTGGATTGTAATAATTAATTAGCTTGTTAGTTAATTAGTTTTGGTGTTGTAATAATTAGTCTTATTAGATTATTAGATTAGTTGTTTAGCTTAGCGTAGCTGGCTTGTATTATTTATTCGGACCCTCCGTCGAGATGGCGCATTTTGTAATAAGTGTGCATGAGTGTTTGAATGTCTTCCAATCCCACGTCTTTTTTCCTTTTACTTAACCGCTTACGATGGTTAGTTCTAGGTCATGTTTCAATTAGCATTCTTATGCTCGTATGTGTGCATCCATTCATCTGTATTGCATGCACCGGGCTCGGCGCATCATACTAACCGCATTGTATTTCAATTCCTACTTGAATACATGATTATCAAGTTGCATCTCATATGCCATCTTAGAATAGTCGAGCCTGTTTCTAGTTGCATTTTGCATGTGTTGTATTAGCCATCTTAACATAAACTAGGATCATGCATGATTTCTAACTAGTTCTTTGTTTTGGCTCGAAGTACACTGTAAGTGTTTTCACTTTGGCATCCTTGCATGAGTGTAAGTATTTCCATGATAGCATGCTTGCCATGAGGCTATTTGCTTAACTGATATAACTGTCTGAATGCCTGTGGGTGAAGGTTGGATTACTTGAATTGGAACAATTCATTGAAATGCAAGTTTTAAGCCCACTTGAGAATGGCAAAATCATGTTTTCTAAGCCCACTCGAGGGTGGCAAATCCACGTTTTAGCCTACTTGCGAGTAGCACCTTCAAACCATTTTTAAACAAACAAACATAAAATGTTTTGTTTCAACTTAGGCGATCTAGTCTATACTTGTGTGTTGCGCATATCACATAGTAAAGCTAGCTAATAACCGGAATAAGAACGCATGTGTTTTCAAAAATAAAATATCATGTTAGTAAAGGCCGATCTTTGATCGGGCGAGCGGGGGTGCTCATTGCATGACCTTCCCCTCTCGTACCCAAGTTCCCGAGCCGAGGCAACTTTGGTAATGACGGACACGTGGCCTTAGGCACGAGTCAGGGTTTCCTAAATTTCCTAAAAACAAAAACATTTAGGTGGCGACTCTGTATCTGGAAAAGCAGTCCATGTTTGGCATTTCTTTATAAAAATCAGTTTTCCAAAACGATTTGTCGAATTTGGTCGCTTTGGTGATTTATCTGTCTTGCATTGCACTTTGTGAGATTAGATTCAGAACCATAACATTGAGTCCGAACTGTAGTAGCTAATGAACAAAATGGGATTCTCGCGCCTTCGCGCGTGGAGCCCGAGACGTTCTTGCACGTCTACAACAAGTGAGAATAGAGTGCATGAGGGTTATTTTTGGAGTAGTACAGGATCTTAAACTTTGGGGTTATGGAGTTATAATGATTGTGAATAATAAAAAGGTAAATAGAAATAAAATGAGGAATACTTTGGAATTGGGTTAATGAATTTAAAATGATGTTGTTCCTTGAACATATTTATTTTAAAAAAAAGGCTTTATGGTTTTTCTGGCAATGAGGGATAATTTTTATAGCTGAAAGTTTTCCTTAAATGTTCAAATACATTTTGAGATACCGGTACTCTACGTATGATATTTTGAAATTACAAAACGCCACCTTACTATATGGTAGCACCCTGTATGCATGTTCATTTCTATTTGTGTGTTAGTTATTGTTGTAGAACTATGAGATTCCTACTGGGCAATTATGCACATCCCTTGTTATTGTTGTTTTTTTTTTCACAGGAAGAGAATTTGGATTTATTGGTTGGGGAGTTAAGAAGTCCATGTGTCTTTTATATGTAATTTCATTGTAGATGTGAAAGAAATAAATATTGTACATTGATGTTTGTAATTATTTATTTGTAGCTCCGTAGTGGAAGCTTGACATTTATTATTGTTATTGTTGTATTCATTGAGAGAGGGAACATGTATTGTTTTGTTTCTATTACTCAAGGGTAATAGATATATATATATATATATATATAAAGAACCTAAATTACAGGCTTTTGGTAATATTTTCGAGTAATTAAAAAGTTGGGGCGTTTCAGAAGGTGGGCTTTTTCGAGTTTGTTACTCGATGGAGGACAAAGGCAGCTATAATGGCAAACAGGCCTCCAGAGAAAGAGCAAGTTCGTATCATTGTTAGAAATCTACATGAAAGGCTATTACAGAAAATAATAGTCCTCCCACTATTCAACTTTAAGGACCTCCATGAAATTAGGATTCAAATCGAGGATAGTATTAGACAAGGGATCATTGTGGAAGGTAATGAGCCTATGAGGAAGAATGTTGTTCGTGGTTCCAATGCTAATACCAGTGGTAGCACAACTGCGAAATGCTTAGATGTAAACACTGTCACCACTCCCATCAAAAACCATTTTCCTGATAATAGCCAAAAACCAACCACTTCAACTCGGCCCCAAGCTCGAAATTTGCATCCTCTTTACATGGCTCTCTCTCTCAAGCTTTGAAAGTATTGCTAGAAAAAGGGCACCTAGAGCTCCTAGAACCCTACCCCTTCCTAAATCCTTTTCCACTAAGGTATGACATGGCTAAACACTGTGCTTATTATCAACAAAACGGTCATGATACAAACAGTTGCATTCGTCTTCGTCATAAAATTCAAGATCTTATTGATGATGAGATCATAGCTCCACCAAAAAGACCTCATACCACCACTAACCCATCATCTCTCCACCTCAACCTAATCCATACACTGCCATCTACCTACAACCCCAACATATACATCACTCGGGCCCATTTACCCAAGCCTGAGGTGTTCATTCTAGAAAGCACGAACTTGTGTATGATGGATGCACTTGAACCCCAATTATCTCAAACCCATGAACCCACTACTTCTGAGATGATGAGCATGATTGAAGATCTTCAGAGAATTGTGGCAGATCTAGCCTTTGGGATATTGGCTCCATCATCGACCACAACATATACCAGAAATTTCATGTTAAAAGGCTCCCCAATCTTGGGATGGGCTGCATTTGAAGAAGGCCAACCTGAAGTCATTTCAAGTCTGGGTGACGACATGCCAACAACAACTGGGCCTCACCTCAACATAGCCACCTAATCCCTTGGCAAAGCTGAAGCAAGTGGCAAGAACAAGGCCAAGGCAAGTATCGATCTTGATGCACATCTTCGGTGGGTTATTGAGATTTTGAAGGGCAAAGGGATGAACAAACAGCGAATGCTTGCAGTTGTTGCAAAAACAATAGATAACTCTTTTGTCGCTCAGGTTGGGGGCATTTTGGATCAAGGGGTAAACCAGGCAACACCTGCCAACCCCTCTGTTAATCCTGTCAGGACTGGTAACCGCACCTTCAATCTCCTTTTCATGACCTTATCCAAAGCTTTCCAAATCCTCATAGGACAAGTCCATCTCAAACCCCTTGACCCTCAGCCTCTCCCTGATCCCTTTCCAGTCAAGCATAATGTTGTCAGGTACTGTGCCTTCTATCAACAAACTGGCCATGATATTGACTGTTGTTTTTGCCTTTGCCATGAAGTTTAAAATCTGATTGACAAGAAGGTCATCACTCCACTAGGTCCTACAAAGTCTATCGACACTGGATCAATGAACTTAGGGGATAACGTGACTATGTAATCGGGGATGAACCACTTGCTGATGGCGCTCATTTTACTCCAAATGTGGTGGATGACATGCACTATTTTAGCACTTTGAAAATGTTGTTTATTTTACTTTCTGAACTGGGTGTTGAGTCAGTCTTGTTTTGGTGATTTCGGGGGTGTTAACTCGGACATCACTTTCTTGTTTTGTCTTTGTCTTTTTCACTCTTTCTTTTGTGTATATTTCTGTCATTGAGCCAGTTAAGCCAGAAGATCTGAATGAAATGACAGTAATTTTCACCTACTTCTCTCTGCTTTAAACCATTGCATTGACCAAAGTTTTTCAAAAACTTTTCTAACACTGTGATGAAAACAAAGAGGGAGAAATTCCTCGGGATTTACAAATATTTGATCAACTAAGAGGAATTGAGGCGTGCACCCTTAATAAATGAGATCATGTTTGTTAATGTGAGAATTGAGAAGAATCCTAGATTGAACCAGATTGGTTCTACACATGTCTTCAGAAGAGCACAAGCGACTAGTCTCTTGAACTGAAATTGAAGGTCGTAGAGGCGCAATAAACAAAAACTGACTTCATAGCTATGATTAGCATGATTTTTAGAACCTTTGGTGTGATTTTGAAAAATTATGATTCATAATGAATAAATTAAGATTTTTGAGTTAAGTGTATATGTTTAGCTCTTTATTCTTCATTTTATTGGAAAAGAGCTCAAAGTGTGAGTTAAAGAGAGAGGAAGAGGAGAAAGCTAGGGATTTGAAGGGAAACAAGAGGCAAACCATAGATTTGAGTTAATTTACTTACACACTTTGTTTCTAACTCACCTTTGTCAAGAAATTATAAAGAAATTATGAATTTTGAGCTAGGGTTTTGAGTTGTGTAGTGTTTATGGCTAAAGGCATAAAATTGGACCTTGATCTCTACACCATTTTTTGATTTAAGTTCATTTTTTTATGATTGATCCATGAAACAAACCCTAAAGGGTTCATACAAACAAGATTTGTGAGAAAATCATTCATGAATGTATGTATTTTGAATTTGTGTATATAAACCATGAAATTGTGAAAAGATGAGACCATGAAGTTGATGTTGATGCAAGATTGATAAGTTTAATGTGGAATTACACTTGTATCATACTTATGTATCATGATTTTAAGTGAGTTTTGCTTTAATTTGAGCTTGGAAATGAGTTTGGAGGGTTTTGCATTTTGGCCATTTTCGGACTGTTTGAGTTTACCCAGACCGCACGAGCGGCCACAGGCTCTGCACCAGCGGAACATGAGGAAAAAAAAAAATTGCATTCTGCTTGACCCATCGCTCGAGCGGCCCACTCACCACACGAGCAGTCAAGGTGGGCGCACCTGCGGCCAGTACTGTTTTAGCTTATACCTGGTAACTTCAAATAAGCATATATCCCTTATTCGGACTCCGTTTAAGTGATTCTTGAGCCTAAATTCAAGCCCTAGAAGTCTAGTTTCTGATGGTGGTAATCTCACATCCAAATTCTAAGTACACAAATAGATATACTCAAATTAGTGTAGGCTATTTATTTTTTTTAAATCATTTCATGCCATTCCCTACCCTAACTTAGTTTCCTTTCACTTCTTGCTATTTCTTTAAACCTTAAATTTGTAAACATGATATTTTCAATGAAAAACATATGGAATTGTTGTAGGAATTATGTAAACACTTGAGAGAAATTAAAGGATGGAAAACGATTGAACGCATATGTAACGAATAAATCGATTCAGTGAATTGAAGGCAATCTGTTTTGAAATGTTATGCTTGGTTATGTTTCTGCAGGCTGAGTCGTTAAGGAGTATCATCTGACCAAGCACTGTGAGTAATAATACCATATTTATATGTTCGTTATCGTGTACCTCGAACCACGAACGGTGATTGGTGCCGACATTGTGATTTGTTTGAAATGAGAAACCTCAACAATATTATATGACATGTGCAATGTTGGGCCCGAGGACGTTTTGAAATATGATTAGGCCTGAGGCCATTTTGTTATATGTTAGGCCCAACACCGTTTGGAAACATGATTAGGCCCGAGGCCATTTTGATATATGTTGGGCCTAAGGTCGTTTTGATATAAGTTTGGCCCGAAGCCGTTTTGTTATATGTTGGGCCCGAGGCCGTTTTGAGACATGATTGGGCCTAAGGCCGTTCTGTTTATGTGATTATGGATATTGTGAGAATCTTATGATTATCTAATTACATTGTTTTATTGTATTACTACTCATTGAGCTTCGCTCACCCAATTTTATGTATGCACATGTAGGTAATCCGCAGCATGGAGCACACCCCTAGAGTCAGCCTCACTAGCCATCCTTTTTTAGACCCAATCAAGTCATATCTTCATGATAGAGTTTTGTCTTGACTGACTTCATACTTTGACTTTACTTTGTTGTGTTAATGTGGTCTTGGGTTTGTAAACGTTGTGCACAATTTCCTTTGATACTTATATTCTTTTTGCATGGGCATGTAAATGGCGTGGTTGTGTTACATTTTGCTCATATTAGTATAGCTCAATGGACTCATTCTTTTGTTATATACTTCTGTTTTTGGCCTCATTACTATAATTGCTTTGTATGTTTGTTTGAGGCCGAAGGTAATCAAGTGATTACCGGCCGGTTATGACCCAAACTTTTAGGGACAGGTTCAGGTCATGACAGAGTGGTATCAGAGTACGAGTTAATATCTCACACACGAGTCCATGCGAGCAATAAGAAGTCTAGAAAGGGTTTAAGTTGCATCCATAATGCATCCATAATCAAGTATGTCATGAAAATGTGCATCTGTAAATGTGACTTATGTCTTTATTATTTGGGAAAGTTATAATGTGTGTTCCTCTAGATCATGGTGAGAACAAGGGCAGAAGATGGGGAGGATTCAACCTCCGCACGACTTAATAGAATGAAGACAATGATCATGGACATGACAGAGGCCTTTAGACTACAACAGCAACAACCACCGCCACCAATGGCCGTGCCACCACCTATAGTGCAAGACCATCATGCCGACGACCGAACTATTGCTCTCACAAAAGAATTTAAAAAGACGAAACCGCCATCGTTCAATGAGGGAATTGATCCATTGAAGGCGGAGGCGTGGGTGTTTGGTATCGAGAAATTGTTTGAAGTCTTTCCATGTACGGAGGCAAGAAAAGTCTTGCTAGCTGCCTTTACATTAAAGGATAAGGCGCGCCGTTGGTGGATGCTTATTCGAGGAGAACATCAAAGGATGAATTGGGCTCAATTTTTGGAGATCTTCTATGAGAAGTACTTCCCACATAGCATCCGAGACAGGAAGGTGTTAGAGTTTGAAAACTTAAAGCAAGGGAACAAAACCGTAGTGGAGTGTGAGGTGCAATTTATCGAACTAGCCCGTTTTGCACAGTCCATGGTCGATATGGACTACAAGAAGGCGAGAAAATTTGAGGGAGGTCTCCGAGACTCCATTCTTGAGAAGATTAATGTATTGTAGGTACAGAAATATGTGAATGTATTGGATAAGGCCATCATAGCAGAAGGCAACCAAGCCAGCCGTAACTGGTACTCAAATTGGAAGGGCAAAAGGCAAGGCTCCAATGTGCACAAAGGGTCGGCGTCCTCGCAAAGTAAGAAGCAAAATTTGGGAACTTCCAACACTTTAGGTTCTACTCGTGATTCGGCACCAACTTGCCCGGAGTGTGGAAAAAAGCACCACGGGGTTTGTTATCAAGCATCAGGAGCTTGCTTTAATTGTGGGAAGACGGGGCATATGGTGAGAGATTGTCCTATGTTTAGGCAACAAAAAGGTAATAGGCCAACTGCTAGTTCAGCCGGTTCCACTCTTGCAACGAAGACCCTGGGAAGGCCTACTACTTCTAGAGACAATGTTAGGCAAGGGAGAGTCTTTGCTCTTGTTCCGGGTGATGTCCAAAATTCAGACGCTGTGGTTTCAGTTACGCTTTCCATCAATGGCCAACCTGCTCATGTGTTACTTGATTCAAGTTCCACTCATTCCTTTGTTTCAAAAACATTTGCTCCTAATTTGAATAGATCTATGGAACGCTTGAATTATGTGTTATGCGTGTCACTCCCATCCGGGGACTATATGCTATGTGTTTTTATATATCCTGCATGTGAGCTTTTACTTGGAGATATTCCATTGTATGCTAATTTGATGCCTCTTGATATGGAACACTTTGATATAATTTTGGGAATGGATTGGTTAGCTAAGTATCATGCAACCATCAACTGTGTGTCCAAGCAAGTTATTTTCTGCCCACCAAGTCAAGAAAAGTTTACTTTTGTGGGACATGAAGTGGTCCCTTCACGCTTTTTGATATCGGCTATGAAAGCTTGTAAACTACTTCAAAAGGTTTTGTAGGGGTTATTTGTGTAGCATTTTACATGCAAAGACAACTGAGGTGGGTGTTGAAAATATTCAGATTGTTAGTGAGTTTCCAGATGTATTTCCCAAAGAATTGCCAAGGGACTTGATAGACCGTGAGATTAAATTTGTAACTAATATTGTACCGGGTACTCAACCTATTTCCAAGGCTCCATGCAGAATGTCTCTGGCAGAAATGAAGGAATTGAAAATACAGTTGCAAGAATTGCTTGACAAAGGGTTCATCTGACCGAGTACATCGCCATGGGGCGTACCCATTTTGTTTGTGAAGAAGAAGGATGGGACCCTTCGATCGTGTATTGGTTATCGAGAACTTAATAAGGCAACGGTGAAGAATAAATATCCTTTACCACGGATTGATGATTTGTTTGACTAATTATAGGGGGCACAAGTGTTTTTAAAAATCGACTTGAGATCCAGGTACCATCAGTTGAAAGTCAAAGCAGAGGATGTTGAGAAGGCCACATTCCAAACCAAGTATGGCTATTACGAATTTTGTCATGCCATTTGGGGTTACGAATGCACCAACAGCTTTTATAGATTTAATGAATTAGGTTTTCAAACCGTACTTGGATGAGTTTGTGGCGGTATTCATTGATGGCATTCTTAATTATGCGAAGAGTAAGGAGGATCATGAAAGGCACTAGTGATTAATTCTTCAAACACTTAGGGACAAGAAGTTATATGCTAAATTGAAGAAATGTGAATTTTGGTTGAATGAACTTGTGTTTTTGGGGCATGTAATTAACAAGGATGGTGTGTCTGTCGATCCGTAAAAGATAGAAGCTATTGTGAATTGGCCTGCTCCTACCAATGTTACAAAAATACGTAGTTTTATAGGTTTAGCGGGTTACTATTGAAGATTTGTTAAAGATTTCTCCAAGATTGCGGTGCTGCTCACCCAATTGACCCAAAAAGTTGTTCCATTCAAGTGGACAGAATAGAGGGAGTCTGCCTTCCAAGAATTAAAGACAAGACTCACAACAACACCGGTTCTTGCCTTACCGTCAGGTACAAAAGGGTTTGGTATCTACAATGATGTTTCTCATAAGGAATTAGGGTATGTGCTTATACAAAATAGGAGAGTGATTGCGTATGCATCTCGACAATTGAAGCCACATGAAAAGAATTACCCTACGCATGATTTGGAATTAGTTGTTGTGGTATTTGCATTGAAGATATGGTGGCATTACCTCTATGGAGCAACTTGTAAAGTCTACAACAACCAAAAGAGCCTCAAGTATTTCTTTACTCAAAAAGAGTTTAATTTGTGACAAAGAAGGTGGTTAGAACTCATCAAGGATTATGACTTGCAAATTCATTATCATCCCGGTAAAGCCAACACGGTAGCGGATGCTCTTAGTAGAAAGTCAACAAGCAACTTAGCATGTTTGCTTATGGAGTAGAATAAACTATTACTTGACTTGAAAAGAATGGAGGTGGAAATTGTGCTACATGAACGGGATGGAATGTTGGCCGTAATGACAGCACAACCGACTATTATTGAGCAAATTAAACAAAAGCAATTAGAGGATGAATTCCTCAAGAAGGTATATGATGAGATGGAAGCAAAACCGAGACCAAGATTTTCTTTGGAAGCTCAAGTGTTGAAATTCAAGGGAAGATTGTGTGTTCCTAACATCCTCGAAATTAAAGGAAGGGTTTTGGAAGAAGCTCACAAATCTAGATTTGCTATGCATCTCAGAAATATCAAAATGTACCAAGAACTCAAGCAAGCTTTTTGGTAGCCCAACATAAAGAGAGAAATTGCGGAGTTCATTTTGAGGTGCCTTCAATGTTAGTAAGTGAAAGTGGAGCACCAAAGATCGGCAGGGTTCCTTCAGCCTCTCCCTATTCCAGAATGGAAGTGGGAACATATAACTATGGATTTTATTGTGGGCTTACCCCGAACACCCCGAGATATGGATTCTATACGGGTTATTGTGGATAGATTGATTAAGTCTGCTAATTTTCTGCCTGTGAAGACTGTTTATAGTGCTGATAGACTTGCTACGGTGTACATTGCGGAGATTATTCGATTGCACAGTGTTCCGATTTCCATTGTGTCAGATAGAGATTCTAAGTTTGTGTTAAGATTTTGGCAAAGCTTACAAAAAGCATTGGGGACAGAGTTGAGGTTCAGTACTACATTTCATCCACAAACCGATGGACAATCTAAAAGAACTATACAGACGTTGGAGGACATGCTCCGGATGTGTGTTTTGGATTTTCGTGAAGGTTGGGAGGCTCATTTATCAATGGCGGAATTTGCCTATAACAACAGTTTCCACTCTTGTATTGGAATGGCACCATATGAGGCCTTGTATGGAAGAAGATGCTGAACTCCAGTTTGTTGGATAGAGGTTGGGGATAGGTCGTTGATTGGGCCTGAAATTATTCAAGTTACTACGGAAAATATTCAAATCATCCAACAGAGATTGAAAACTGCTCAAAGCCGACAAAAGAGCTATGCGGATCAAAGAATGAGAGACTTGGAGTTTGAAGTTAGGGATCATGTTTTTGTCAAAGTCACTCAAATAAAAGGGCACACAAAATTTGGGAAGAAAGAGAAATTATCACCCCGGTACGTAGGGTCGTTTTAGATTTTGGAAAGATTGGGTCCTGTTGCCTATCGAATTGCTTTACTACCGGGCATGGAGCAAGTGCACAATGTGTTTCACGTATCAATGTTGCGAGGCTACCTTCGGGACCCTTCTCATGTTATTGACTATCATCAAATTGTGCTAGATGACGACATGGTTTATGAGGAGAAGCCCCTTCGCATCCTTGATTGGCAAGTCAAGCAACTACGAAACAAGACTATCCCAATGGTAAAAGTGGAATGGAGGGAACATCATGGGAACGAAGCCACTTGGGAACAGGAAGAAGAAATATGGCAACAATACCCGAAATTGTTTTCAACTTGAGGTAACAAGTTTGAAGGACCAAACTTCCTAAAGAGGGGAAGACTGTGATAACCCAAACCGTACTATGCTTAATCATATATGTTATTATGCGTTTGATATGAATTTGCAAGTTTGAGTATAGGAAATATAAGAATTTGGAAAAATATCTATTGAAAGTAGGATTATCTATTGCAATTGAAACTTTGAACTGAAATTGAAGGTCGTAGAGGCGCAATAAACAAAAACCGACTTCATAGCTATGATTAGCATGATTTTTAGAGCCTTTGGTGAGATTTTGAAAAATTATGATTCGTAATGAATAAATTAAGATTTTTGAGTTAAGTGTATATGTTTAGCCTTTTGTTCTTCATTTTATTAGAAGAGAGCTCAAAGTATGAGTTAGAGAGAGAGAGGAAAAGAAGAAAGCTACGGATTTGAAGGAATCAAGGGGCAAACCATAGCTTTGAGTTAAGGTATGGAAATTTACTTACAAACATTGTTTCTAACTTATCTTTGTCAAGAAATCATGAAGAAATTATGAATTTTGAGCTAGGGTTTTGAGTTGTGTAGTGACTAGGGCTAAAGGCATAAAATTGGACCTTGATTTCTACACCATTGTTTGTTTTGAGTTCATTTTTTTATGATTGATCCATGAAACAAACCCTAGAGGATTCATACAAACAAGATTTATGAGAAAATCATTCGTGAATGTATGTATTTTGAATTTGTGTATATAAACCATGAAATTGTGAAAAGATGAGACCATGAAGTTGATGTTGATGCAAGATTGATAAGTTTGATGTGGAATTACACTTGTATCATGCTTATGTTTCATGATTTTAAGTGAGTTTTGCTTTGATTTGAGCTTGGAAATGAGTTTGGAGGGTTTTGTATTTTTGGCCATTTTCGGACTATCTGAGTTTGCCTAGACAGCACGAGCGGAACATGAGAAAAAAAAAAAAAAAATTTCATTCTGCTTGACCCACCGCTCGAGCGGCCCAGTCACCGCACGAGCAGTCAAGGTGGACGCACGTGCGGCCTGCCTTGTTTCAGCTTATACCTAGTAACTTCAAATAAGCATATCTCCCTTATCCGAACTCCATTTAAGTGATTATTTAGCCTAAATTCAAGCCCTAGAAGTCTAGTTTCTAATGGTGGTGGTCTCACATCCAAATTCTAAGTACACAAATAGATATGCTCAAATTAGTGTAGGCTATTTATTTTCTTTTAATCATTTTATGCCATTCCCTACCCTAACTTAGTTTCCTTTCACTTCTTGCTATTTCTTTAAACCTTAAATATGTAAACATGATATTTTCAATGAAAAACATATGGAATTGTTGTAGGAATTATGTGAACACTTGAGAGAAATTAAAGAATGGGGAACGATTGAACGCATATGTAACAAATAAATCAATTGAGTGAATTGAAGGCAATGTGTTTTGAAATGTTATGCTTGGTTATGTTTCTGCAAGTTGAGTCGTTAAGGAGTATCATTTGACCAAGCACTGTGAGTAATAATACCATATTTATATGTTCGTTATTGTGTACCTTGAACCATGAACGGTGATTGGTGCCGACCTTGTGATTTGTTTGAAATGAGAAACCTCAATAATATTATATGACATGTGCAACGTTGGGCCCGAGACCGTTTTGTTATATGTTGGGCCAGAGGCCGTTTTAAAACATGATTAGGCCCGAGGCCATTTTGTTATATATTGAGTCCGAGGCCGTTTTGATATATGTTGAGCCTGAGGTCGTTTTGATGTAAGTTGGGCCCAAGGCCGTTTTGTTATATGTTGGGCCCAAGGCCGTTTTGAAACATTATTGGGCCTAAGGCTATTCTGTTTATGTGATTATGAATATTGTGAGAATCTTATGATTAGCTAATTACACTGTTTTACTGTATTACTACTCCTTGAGTTTTGCTCACCCAATTTTATGTATGCACACGTAGGTAATCTACAGCATGGAGCACACCCCTAAAGTCAGCCTCAAGAGCCATCCTTTTTGAGACCCAATCGAGTTATGTCTCCGTGATGGAGTTTTGTCTTGACTCACTTCATACTTGGACTTTACTTTGTTTTGTTAATGTGGTCTTGGGTTTGTAAACGTTGTGCACAATTTCCTTTGATACTTATATTCTTTTTGCATGGGCATGCAAATGACATGGTTGTGTTACATTTTGCTGATATTAGTATAGCTCAATGGACTCATTCCTTTGTTGTATACTTTTTATAATTACTTTGTATGTTTATTTGAGGCCAAAGGTAATCAAGTGATTACCGGCCAGTTATGACCCAAACTTTTAGGGGCGGGTTCG